CCCCCCTGTCCTTGACTGTTGTCCCCGCAACGGGCTTCTTGTATTTTTGCGTCGTTTTCAAGGCGGCGACGAGCAGCGCTTTGGAAGGGTGCAGCTGCAAGAAGTCCATGTGCCTCAAGCTGTGAGTTTTCCTTTGCAGCATTTCGATTTGTCCAGAAGTCCTCCTCGAACTCGTCGGCCAAAAGCGGGATTCTCCGCAAGCATATGTTCATATGCGTGGAAACAAAGGCTGCCGTTGTTGCTGCTCATGTAGGGTAGCTCAAGCTGGTCCTGTTCATAAGCTGCTGCTGCTGCTGCTGCTGCTGTCATGTTCATCGACAGCAGGATCTCCACGAGGCAGCTTTGCAGTGTGTAGGGGCTGGGGCCTAGGACGAGTCCACACGGAAACACGCACTATTAAAGGGCCATGCAAGACGACTTGTGAGGGCCAAGATTTTTCTTGCAGCAAGGAGCCAAAAGCCCATAGATCCGGGATGGGACTGTTGTATTGTTATTGCTTAAAAGTACAGTTTAGTGGACGAACAATCAACTTGCACGAGAGATGATAATTTCATGAGACGGGAGATGCCTAAACTACTCGGTTAGCACGTCGATCGGACCAGTAGATTGGTCATTCGAAGAGGTTTTCACGAGACCATGGACAGATGCGTTTGTCGTAGCGAGACCACCTTGCCCTTCCTTATCATTGACCTCCGTCTCTGCGGGTCTTCCCGAAAACAGTCCAAGAGAGTTAATCTCACGGATGAACATGTTTTTTTTTTGTCGCGTTTCCTTCCCTCCTGAATGGTGCGGGTCGTCTGCCGTCCCGTCTTGTTTCGACGGGTGTTTCCCGCTCCCACGGTTGGACTGCTATTTTGATGCGCATACTTGCGTAGTACGAGCATGCTGCGTCTCTTTTTTTCGTGGAATACTATTTTGTGGATATAGCTAAGCTGCCCGTCACCTCGCTCGCTGCCTGTAGCGTACCTGGCTAGTAGTATGTAGTGCTACCGGTGTTCCGTGGACCGGCGGGGTACCGGCTTAACACAGGAAGGCTTGCATATATATACCCGAAAAACACGACGGTGCCCCCAGAAACGCGAAATTCAACCCACACAGCGGTCGCTCTCCGAAGAACGGAAGAAACATGAACCAATTATTTTTCAGAACTGCACGTACAGCACTTAACCCTGGGCCGGTCCGGTTCGTGCGCCCGCCATGCGTAGGTACTGCCAGTGCTTCGCGGGCCAGCTGGTCTGCTCCGACGCCTGCAGGTGCGAGAACTGCTACAACTCCGCGGAGCACGGCGTGGAGCGGCGAGCCGCCGTCCGGGAGCTTCTCTGCCGCAGCCCTCACGCCTTCGACGCCAAGTTTAAGACGGAGGTGAGGAGAACGTCCGTTCGCTCTCGTATCGACCCGGGTCGGGTGGCGGCGGCAGCCGTCGCCTTGCGAGTGCTGTGCTTCATTCGCATGCTCTGGTTGGCTGATGTGTGTGCGACGCTTGGTTCTGCGAAACCGTTTGGTTTGTGCACCGTACGGTACCGTACCGTAGTTGATACTATGACGTAAGATATCACACACCCTGCCTGGACCGAGTTACCGAGCTCCATGGCTCCACGACAAAGAGGGTGCTGCTGCCACATCATGTAAATTGATTGAACGTTTTCGGAGAGATCTTGACGAGACGGTTCGAACACCGCCATTACGCGACCTACTTGTATTTTTGCTGGAGAATGCGACCTTCGAAAATCGTTTCTGAGGGGTATGTGGTGTCTTATATGGAACTAAAGGCGGTAGAAGGGTTGAATCAGCAGTGAGCAGTGGACGCGTCCAGCGACCACCGTTAAATATAAGTGTGTATGGAGGGAGTTAAGGTCGGTATCGAAGGACTTGCGACCGGCAGCACGGGACCCGGGTCACTTGCGTGCGGCAAAGCATCTGCTTTGGAGGTTGGTTGGCGTTCGGGTCGTGAGGGTAATCCCGAAAGCCAACCGCAACCTTTTTGGCATCTTGGGCATTTTTTCTATGTGTTGGGCCCGCTCGCCATTCCGGTATATACCTCATCGCCCCCTTGGGCTCGAGTCAACGTTTTCCTTCTACCACGCCCCTGCTGCAGGCCCCAACTATGTCAGCAAGTCGAGCGCGTTCCTTGGGCAGCAGCAGCTGTCCTTCCAGATTTTCCGGTTGTACACCGCTGTGTTTTGTGTTGTACTTGACATCGCTCCGGTTTCGTACCCCGTCTAATCCTCTCCCCCCCCCC